AGATTCTTTCAACATAAATTGCCTAACATATCCCCAACATAGGCCGAAGATAGCCAACATATCCCAACATATGCCCAACATAGCCTCCAAGATGGCTCAACATAGGGCCAACATAAGCCAACACGGGGCCAACCTGGGGCCAACATAGGCCCAACATAGGCCCAACCTAGGCCAACATAGGCCAACCTAGGCCTAACATAGGCCAACATAAGCCCAACATAGGCTCAACATGGGCCCAAGATGTGCCCAACATAGACCACATGGGCCCAACTTGGCCCAACCTAGGGCCAAGATGCGCACCAGATAGCTACTGTAACTTTACTCAATATAGGCCCCACCAAGGCCAACATAGGTGTGACATACGCCCCACAGACCCAAGTGGGCCGGCGCCCGGCTGTTAGGCGTAAGCCTTTAAATCCGGGCGCCGGCCACGAAGCCCGTGGCATGCCCGGAGGGCCTTCGGTGGTAACCGAAGGTTATATACGCTCGGCCCCCCTGCCGCCGACCCTCGTCACCAAAAACGGCGGGTCCGAACCGAAGCCCCTGTAATTTACAGTGCTTCGTGTGTGTGTGTGTGAGGTATAAAAACACTGCGCTTGACAGGGTTTATTGCGCATATCGAAGTGCGACGCGGCGAAGATGGAGAAATGCAAAAACGCTGTGTTTTTCAAGGGCGGTGTCGGTAACGCGCGCCGGGCGGACAGGCATAATCGACATTTCGTGGGTAGAGGCCCTCCCAACGACTTAAATGGCCTAACATATCTTCAACATAGGCCTAAGAGACCCAACATATCCCCAACATATGCCCAACATAGCCTCCAAGATGCTCAAAATAGGGCCAACATAGGCCAACATGCAATGTCTTGCCACCGCAACACCAACCAACGTCTGGGATCAAAGCAGAAAGCTTCCTTCGGGACCGCAACTTTTTTGTTAGTGCTCGCCTCCCCCACGTGTACAAAGATCTTTCGTCAGTGACGCCTTTGATGGGGGCTCGCTTCGCGAGCCCCGCGGGGGAGGCGCTGCGCCCTCCCCCGCACCCCCT